GTGCCTTTCCATTGGATGAAAACCAATTGGAAAGCATGATATTATTTTGAAGCGGGGTCTGGAGATTGCAGATGACGTTATTCCTTTAAAAGGTTTATTTGAAACGCATGATTGTTGTGTTCTGCAACCATTCATTGAGCTCAAAAACCAATCTCTTGCATTACCAGGGGATCTTCTCCACAAACAGAACAAATATGTGCTCGTTCACTGATTTTTGGCCGCTTAAAAGCATTGGAAACAGTACCCTCTCAAATTGATATTCCATTTCCATATTATACTTTGAACAAAATTAAAATGCAGAAGCGGTGAGCGTGGCTCTATAGACTAGAAAAGGCTTTCAAACTAAATACAACAGCGTCAAACAACAAAATTACTTAACAACTTGGCCTAAGTAATTATCCAGTTTTGTTTTTTTAGATCCAACGGGTGACTATCGAACGGATGGCTGCGCTTCTACGCGAAGAATGCGAACATCTCGAGGCTGACACTTTTGAGAAAGTTGAGGAGGACGATTTCAAGAGTGAGCTGGAGGATACCAACGGAATGTCCCAGTTTGACAATCTTCCAGCCGTTCCCGCTGGAGTTGTGAGTGCTTCTAGATAATCATAAAATGGATATTCAAAGTATGAGTCTTTGCAGAAGTGTGGAACTTGCGCGACAATTAATTCCAACGACTTGTATGAGTTAGATGATTGCTGGATGTGTAGGAGTTGCCTAAAGCAAGTAGCCATAAATCAGATCCGAATCAAATGCCTACCTATCCGCTTAACGGTGGGTTTATAAAAGGAATGTGTTACTAATTATCAGACTTCCGCGCTCATGTTCTAACAATTTAGCTTGTCGTCCCACCCGGAACTACCTCTTATGACGTTTTGCCGTCTATCCTTCCTCTCCCGCTCTTCAATTTTTACACAAAGGTGATCATTTGAGTAGTTGAGGTGGTAATCCGTGTAAGCAGATTCCTTATACAAAAGTATTCTATTAGCTGTTCTGCTTAAGCTTGCCGCCCTTGAACTAATTGAACTATCGATGGATGAAGAAACCGATCTTGGCCAATGTCCGGGGTGCAACCAAGCGGTCGAAATCAATAGACGCAACGGTACTAGCA